ATTTAGTTATGTAGGAACTAGAACTCTAGAAGACTAGTTAATTAGGAACTAGCTAGAAGACTAATTGGTTTGGTTCATCCGATTATCGGTTTATGAATTTGCCCAACCCGAAACCGACCAGTGCTGATGAAAACCCGACCGACTCAGGTTGGGTCGGTTTGGTCAGGTTGGGCCTTCTTATGAACAACCCTAATTGAGTGTGCAATTCGAGCTAGTGACCTGGTCGAATAGATCAATAGTTGAACTGCCCGAGCTAGACTGTTTTTTATCATGTCAACATTTTTTGATGTAGATTTCAATAGAACCAAACCTAGAAACAAAGCTGGGTGACAATTCCAACAATTCAACCAACCAAATCACGGCGGCTTGAAAGCACTAATTTACACAAAAAATTGAAACCTAAGAAAGGTACATATGTATTTTATTGAGGTCTGCTATGATTTTATATGGAACACCATGAATTCTAAAGGTCTCAACCTTTTTGAAGTTTATGCATAATTGTGTAGGGATTAAGACTAGTGGTTTCAATCAAGGTTTTTAAAACCGACCCAGAGAACAAACCGGTCAGGGATCTGTTCCTGGGTTGAATGGTCTGATCGTTCGAATTGAACGATCGACCTATTCTAACAAAATAAAAAATAAAAAAATAGTCAAAACCATTGAACAGTTCAACCGCCCGGATCAGTGGTTTGCTAACCAAATCAATGTTTTTTTTTGCAAATATCCGGTTTTGGGGAAAAACGGAATAGGTCACCTGACCGGTTCTCGGTTTTTCCGGTCCGACCGTCCAATTTGGTCCGATTTTGAAAATCATGATTTCAATAGAAGAGTTGGAAAATATGGTCAAAGGAGAGATTGACTTCACAAGCTTGACAAGAGCAAGGAGAAGTTACTAAGTCATTAATTGCTCGTGCTTTTTTTGTTAATAAATATAGGTGAACCCCCTGATAAAACTAAACTTAAGGAGCCTTTTACTTCTCTTTTAAAGTTTTTTAATAGGGGTGCCAACGGTATTTAAAAATCGAATTTTAAATTTGAGATTTGATATAATCGAATTGAATTCGAATAATTTAAATATTTAATTGATCAAATTTAGATATCCTATTCATAATGAATAGTTAATTGGATTTGAATTCAGACATAACTTAATTCGATTCAATAAATATTCAAATTCGATCGATTATTTAATTGTTATATATAATATATAATATATAAAATATTTAAATATCTTATATAATTTATATATAATAATTAAAGTATATAAATAATTTATATATTTATATACTTTATATAAATAAAATACTTATTTATACATTTATTAATTACCTAAAATAATGATTCGATTTGAATTTTCTCCATTTACACCCCTATTTTTTAACGTACGGATTGGTTGTGCAACTTGAGACGACATTTGAAGCCAATTTTTGCAAGTGAAAGCGAAAGAGGCAATTATAAATTTGGGCTTTTAAAAAAATTCAGCAAAATGTGATGTAGCTTGTGAATGGATCTTGAGCGATTGTTAGCGGACGGAAGACAGACACCACAGTGTAGGTCTGGGTACAATTTAAAAAGCGAGAAGCGAGGAGAGGTTTCAGTATCAAGTAAAAAAAAAAAAGTTAAAAACAGGAAATCTTGTCCCTATGGCTTAGTTTGAAATGAGTACAAAAGTACAAATACAAACAATAATAAAAAATATAAGGTTTTACTCTATATATTTGTATTTGTACTCCTTGCAAACTGAGCTTATATGAAATAACCTACCTCAAGTCGAGTACCTAATTTGCTATTTTGATGGATATATTGTCAGTAATTAAAAACATACTCATCCCTTCAACTCTTAGGTGGGGGAGGGGAAGCATTGGGTACTTTAGTCAATTCGAAAGTGGACAATCTACAAACTGTATTTGGTCACATTGCAGCCTTGCAGGTTTGATTATAGCCAAAAGAAATAACACATTAGTGGTTGGGAGGCTTGCAGAAGTTTCTTGGTACCTTCCATAATCACGGATTGGATTTAGAATGTGCAATTGTGTGCATGGTGTGGAGTCCTATTCTATGTGTCGAATTTAGGGATTGTGAAATGTGAGATGATCAGTGGTAAGGAGCTGCTATAACGCATGGTTTGGTTTGATAGAAAATAGGAGAGAAACAGACAGTTGGGGAAAAGTTTTTAATAATTTTCAGTCAAAAACTGTTACATGGTCAAGTTTAATGTATAACAATCAATTATCTAGTTCATCTAAATTTGATTTTTATCAATCATAGGAGTAAAATAAATTGTTCAATTCATACATTTAGCGTCTGTTTGGTATCAATGACGTTGCTCCAGAAAACGGTGATACATTAGTGCCACATTAGAAAAAAACGGTGCTCTAGGAGATGTTCATATGTTTAGAACTGTTTTTCTATAAAAAATGGTGCTCCAAATTACGCCTTAGAAATTGAAAATGCATGATTTGGAGCAACACCTAATTTGATATTTTCTCATATTGGAGCTTGTTGCTGCTAACGAAGACATGATGTAACAGTGACATGAACTTCCTATAATGGGTACTAATACCGAAAACAAATATGAAGCACTAGTACCAAACAGAAATTATTGTTGTTGCTCCAGGAAAGATCCTATCTGACAACAACATTTTCAAACAAAAAAAGACACCCTTTTTCTCAGAAAACGATACATCCAATCCACACATTATATATTGATGCCAAATATATAGTTAAAGGTGATTTGGTTATACATTTTCTTATTTTAGATATATTTGTGTAAATTTATATTAATTTGATAGAAATATATAGGATATCATGATATATAAACTCATGAAGTCCGATTTATCCAGGTAGAGACCTGAGATCAAATACTGCTGCCATCATGGTTGGGAGTTAAGGGCGGGGATAGACTACCGCTGTTGTGTAGCCCCCATAAAGCACAAAAACAAAAAAAAAAAAAAATCAAATCCATGCATTTACATATTCGTCCGAGATCACATGGAATTGAAGCTTCTCATATTCTTATTAGGTTATACCCCTAATTATTTGAACTAATCCACTTGCACCTGAAAAAAAAAAGGAAATTGCGATAAATCATGCATGAGAGGACATTGATGCTTAGTGGATGGATTATCTCCAACCCAACACACCCACTAGATTTGGGGGAGGCTACCCCTTTTTATCTTTTTTTCCCCTTTTCTTTTGAAAAAAGGGCTACCAGCCCAATTGTACGTCTACAGAGAAAAAAATATTAAAACTAACCTCGTTGCCTCACATATAAGTCACAGGCACGAGACATCATTAGATGCTTCTATAGGCCCACTCACTATTTATGATTTCTTTTTTCTATTCTTTAAGTTTAGTCATGATAAAGAAAATACTTAATCATAGGCTAAAACTAGATGCCTCATTTGCCAATAAAACAATTACACCGGCAACTTATATAATTTTCTATAAAATTTGTAATATGCTCAACCATCTCATCACTTTGCTATAAATGGGGCCACGCTGAGTGGTTGAATAGTTATGGGAGTCATGTATTTTACAACTGATATAAAGTGTTATAATTGGTTTCATAGCCCGCTCAACCTAATCATATCTCTTTATTTGTTACTTATGTCTCTCATTGTAAGGAGAGACTCAAGAGTGAATCCCATCTGGCCATCCTCCTCCTCTTTTGCAGCTTGGCTTAATGTTTTGATATCATGTTGGATTTATTCACTCTCTTCCAGGTAGGGGTGAACAAAAAAACAAAAAAATTGAATTGATCGAAATCAAATCAAACAATTGATTAATCGAAAAATCAGTTAATTAAATTGGTCAGTTCAGTTTTAATCCAGTGTTTTTAAAAACTGAAGGTGTCGATTTGGTTTTGGCTAACCAATATAAAAAATCGATGGTTAATCGAATCAACCGGTATACATATATTTCTATATATTATATATATTATATATTTTATAAATTAATAAATATGTATTATATATATAAATATATTATTTATTATTTAAAATATAATATTATATATATTTTTATAATATATATTGTAAAAATTAAAAAACCAACAAACCAAACGATGATTAATCAAACCGTCCAACCGACTAACCAACTCGGTTCAATTCTGATTACTGGTTTTTCAAAAACCAGTACTAACGGTTCGGTTAAAAAAAATGCCCCACAATCGAACCGTGCTTCCAAGGAGTTAATTGAATGATTTTCATTTTCTGATCCTTTCCATATTGCCACTACACAAATTCATCAAACAAGTAATAACTCTTATACGGACTACGGTTATACTTGTACCCCCAACACTATCGAGTGTCAGTGGGAAAACCAAAGGTTATAACTGTCATTTCAGAGACAGGAACTAAAACAAAATATGATTACCGTCTTAACAGTTGACAGTTTCCTCCAAAAAAAAAAGCAACTACGCTCTTTCACTTGTATCCGCCGTGGATCCCAAGGTCGTAGCGAGTTTGAATCCTCTACAATTCCACTCGTAATATTTTACACCAGTCCATTTAAGCTTTTTACACGTGTTGAACACTGATGACGTGGCATGCCAACATCATCGATTGAATGAAGATTGGGACATCGTCGAAGCGTTCGACAGGTGGAACCACGTTGGCGGAGCTGACGTCGTGTATCGTCATTGGTCCTGTATCCTACGCGTGCCATTCTTACTTTGCCGCTAAAAATCAGTGCACTCCAAGACCATTGACCATTGAAATGAAGCACAGAAGTACGAGATGTTCCCGATGCAAGGTTTTAAAGGCTGTTCGAACTTCGAACGGTGTTCGTTCGAATAGGCCTTGCACTGACCGAAGCCGATCTCGAAGTAACCTGTGCTAAAACCGTGAAATTACGGCCCTTGATGTATTAATTTAGCCCACCTGACATAAGTTGAGGCCACATGGCCTACACCGATTTCACACGGTTTTAGCCCAGAGCTGCTCCAACGGGAGTTGCTGATTTCTCCTCGACTTTGCTGTAGGATTGGGTATTTCCTATTGCGTAGTCAAAACCCAAAACTCGAAAGAATCATCAATCACGTCGGGATTATAAGGAGTAAGGACTATTCCTACGGAAAGAAACCCACAAACGGCGTCTCTTTTGCTTTTGCGGCATTAGAGAGAGAGAGAGAAATCAGACAGGAGTTTGCTGGTAGAAAACTTGGGCGTGCTTTATCCCCTCTGCTGCTGCTGCCTGCTTTTCCTTTTTCAGCATCTCCCTCTTTCTCTTTCTTACTACAAAACGATTCTACAATTTTCAGATCATGAGCGCCATCTCCCCCAACCAGATTCAGTGGTTTTACTCGTCGGAGGAATGAAATGGACTGTTGAAATTTCTGCTCGCTGGTGAACTTCAGAGGAAAATCAGAACTTCTGGGTTTGTTATCAATGGGGAGTGCTTCCGAATCCGAAGATGGTTTCGATCAACAGAGCGAGCGGTTTGGGAGCTATAGCTTGAGTGCCGACGTCAGTGAGTCGGAGAGTTCAAGTAGTTTCTCTTGCCAGCGTTACGATGCCGAAGGTGCTTCCAGTTCTCTTTCGTCTTCCCCGCTTCCTGCCCACCTTTTGCCAGCGAATTCTGCTTTTCCTCCGCCGCCACTGATGTTACCTGTCATCGGCGGGAGAGATGTGGTGTTTTGGGAGGAGAAGCCCGAGAAAAGGGAGGCAGATTTATCTGGTTTGTCTTACTTGATTTTTTTAATCTTATAATTTTTCCTTGGAATTGTTGTATGTTTTTCATTCTCTTTGGAACTAATTTGGTATCCTGCTGCCTAAGACTCACATTTCGGACCTATTTTTCTCTTAGAAGCAACTATCTGCACTGGCGCATTTTAGCATCATTGCATCTTTGCCTTTTCCCCTGCTCTTCTGTATTTATCGTTTTTTTTCCTTTTTAATGTTTTTTTAGTCGTGCTGTTTGCAGAAGTTGAGATGATGAAGGAGCGGTTCGCCAAGCTTCTTCTTGGAGAAGACATGTCAGGTGGAGGGAAGGGAGTCTGTACTGCTCTCGCTATCTCCAATGCCATTACGAATCTCTCAGGTTGGTTTATTTTGCAGTGCTTTTCTCAATTTCTGTTAAGATTTCTATTTATGTATTATTTAAGGGGCCAAAAATGGCAGCTACCGTGTTCGGAGAGCTATGGAGGTTGGAGCCGTTGGCGCCGCTGAAGATGGCAATGTGGTGCAGAGAGATGGAATGGCTCTTATGTGTGAGCGATTCCATAGTGGAGCTCATTCCTTCATTACAAGAGTTCCCAGGAGGTGGGACCTTCGAGGTCATGGTGACTCGGCCGCGCTCAGATCTATGCATAAACCTCCCGGCTCTCAAGAAGCTTGACGCTATGTTGCTTACTATGCTTGATAGCTTCGAGGACACCGAGTTTTGGTATGTCGATCGCAGCATAATTGTTGCTGATGCAGATGATGTTGATTATTGTCCATCATCTACTTTTGGGAGGCCTTCTATGAGGCAGGAAGAGAAGTGGTGGCTCCCGTGCCCTAGGGTCCCACCTAATGGTTTGTCTGAAGATGCGAGGAAGAGATTGCAGCAGTGTAGGGACTGCACAAATCAAATCCTTAAAGCGGCCATGGCAATCAATAGCAGTGTGCTTGCTGAGATGGAGATTCCAAATGTGTACTTGGAGAGCTTGCCAAAGGTAGAACCGTAGAAGCAATTTCAATTATTGAAAATTGATCGATATTTAATGACTTCCAATTTGGTGATGGGCAAAAGAAACTGAGATGAGAAGAGCTAATACATTTCTCTTGGTGGTACATTGATGAACTTGTGCCTAGATGCCAACTTAGCTTGTTCTTTGAGGTTATATGGTATTCACATGCTAGCCACTGCTTGTAGAAGTCAACACTTGTAATCTGCAGGATGCAATGTCTTACATTTTCTTGTGTCAAAAATTGTTTTCCTCATCTGTTATTTGTTTATTGCAATTTGTTCAAGTTTTTAGATGAAATGTTAATTAGAGGTTATTGCCTTTGGTCCTGATCTTTGATTTCTTTTTATGAATATTTTTTGTAAATCCCTTCACATTTTTCAACTTTAGGTAGCTAGGAAACTGTTGAAATTGGATAATCTCTGAGTTGGTTTAGGGTCAATATGTGAATGAACGGAATAGTAAATTAGTACATTTTTCATGTTTTCTCTCTATGGGACATTCAACCTGGTTATGAAAGGAGTACCATAACTGGCAGAAAGAATTAGTCTGATCATCTAGTTACCCTTTATATAAAGGCATACTCTTTGCCCAAGCCACATAGGCTGTTGTTTGATAGAGATAATTGAACTGATGAGTTTTTTTTTTTTGAAGTTTAGTTAAGTATCATAATTTGCTGTGGTCTGATTTACAAATCCGACTTGCTTGTTGGAATTTATTTTATCGTCGAGAAGGTGCTGCAGTGGCAAGAAGTGTTTGTTTCAAAATGAAGTAGGTACCCTTCCCAGTTATTCATGTTCTCCCAAAGAATCCTGTCATCAAGAGCATAAAATATTTATTTGTATGGAAAGTTGTGGGAGAAGGTGCTGCAGTGGATATTCATAAAAAAAAAAAACAAAAAAAAGAAGGTGCTGCAGTGGATGGTTGCTAAGGCAAGAGAGGTGAGAGGATTTTGGAAATGAACTTCTGATATATAATAAAGTGAGGTTATTCGTGGTCATTGGATATATGGTATGTGTCTGTCGATGTGTTTAGAATGATTATAATTCTGAAAGCCCAGCTCACTACTTTTGTTGTTATAATTGCTTGTAATCTGTAGCTGCAATTTTTTGATTTATTCTTTGGACGTTGTAGCTTATAGTCTATAACTTTTGGCCTTCTAGTTTTTTTATCATTATATTTATAATATGAAATGGAACCATTGAAAACCTTTTAGGTCAAACTGATTTATTCTACCTGAGTTACCTACTATTGTAAAATTGATGAACAACTAGGTTCTAAGTGTAAGTGCACTACAGATTTCAGCATTTTCACTTGCATATTTCAGTCAGCTTAACAAAATTTGGAAGTATACTGAGTTGATAGAGAAGCATGCAGGCTTGGGTTGTCTTTATGCTTGAGTACAAGCCAGTCAGTTCATTAAGTTCTATATCCTAATAGAAGAACTTGAGAAGGTTGTTATGATCTAGTGGAATTGCCTGGTGGCTTTGTTTGGTAAAGTCAATGATGTGCCAGTATAAATTAAAGGAAGATCAACCTGAACAGTGATTCAAGGCCCAGAGGGCTACATTTCCCTAAAGCCTGTCCAATCAATAGATCAGCTTCTACTTAACTACAGGAGCAACATAAGATGTCTATCTGCTTGTGGTAACTATAGGTATCACAGGTGCTTGAAAGCAGGGAGACTTAGGTAATCATAGAGCATTTGTAGGTTTTCCATTGTTGATGTGTAATCTGGACTATTTTGAAAGATGTAATATCTTAGGTAATCCAGCTTTGAACTGGTAATTAACATCTACACCTACAACTCAACTAACATAACAGTTGATTTTGTCATGGCTAAGTATCAGCTCATGGACCAAAGATTTGGGGAAGAAATTCCCTTCTGAACTCCTTTTTTCATGTTCTACCAAGCTTAAATAAGCAAATATGTGAATAAATAAGTTTGCTGACAATGGTCAGCTGTACCCGGTCTAAGAATGCCCAATGCATGAACTATAATGGCATGGAATAAGGTTTTTGCTCTGCTTGAACACTTTATGCTATTTAGTGAGATGCTTTATCATGGTGAATGCATATGATGTATGTGCACTGTTGTAATGGCACACTGGCATTCAAAGGTCACTCTTTACTACAACCATACAGAATAATAACCTTTTTTTTTTCAAAGTTTTTTTGTAATTGCTGATTACTGATCAAAAACACTTTTGTAATTGTAGATAAAATGATCAGGATACTACTTCTGAATCCTTATTGATCTGGCCTTACCTTGCGAAAGGACAATATTCTCCTCCTAATTGAGGCATATCTTTATCTTTTTCTTAAACCTAAACAAATATGAATGCTCATCATTCTTTATGAAGCTTTAATCACCATTTTCTTTTATTCTTTCTCAGCCTGTATCATCATCATCTTCTAAGATTTTCTCAACCACTTTCCCTACCTGTCATCAAGATCCATATTCATAGAGATTGTAAGATACAATAAGATTTTTATTTAGAAACATCTTTAGGTGTATCCGTTTGAGCTCATCCAACAGTTTGAGGGGAAGAATGTGTGTTTGGACTCATTTTATCATGTTTAGCTGATATGGTTTCACTGCCCTCTTGAGTTTACCAAGATTTATGTCAGGAACTAAGGTACCAATGGATGTTCAAAGATTGCTTCCATGCATTACAAGAATACAATACACATGCAGAAGTTGTTTTTAACTTCAAAGTTCAAACTAAAGTTTGAGGTTAAGTTATATCTTAGGTATGAGATTTATATATACTTTTTAGGTTTAAATTATTCTTCATGCATCTTGACTTTTGTCAATTTCTAACCCCTTCGGAATATATGGGTGGTTGGTTATTTGTCTATGGTCTATTAAGCACCTGAAATTTGTTATACTATTAACAATGAAGTATGGAATTCTGCTGCCTAGGGCAATGAAAAGCAAATTGAAGATGTTGCGTGGGGGAACTTTGGCAATATCATATATTTGACTGCTCTATTACCTGTAATAAAATAGGAGAGGAGATTTTTCATGGATGATTCGTTTCAACAGATAGAAATGTGCTGAACTGTATTGGAGCTTACTGTTTATATGGTCAAGTTCTTCCTGATGTCAGCTCATGATTTTGTAGTGCCTTCTGTTTTTTACTTTTTTAAATCAATCATCATTTTGTAATTTGTATTGTGCTTATATGTAAGTTCACCTGCATCCTGCCAACTTTGCAGGGTGGAAAAGCTTGTCTAGGTGAGATCATCTACCGCTACATAACTGCAGACCAATTCTCCCCGGAATGTCTTCTTGATTGTTTAGAGCTATCATCAGAACACCATGCTCTTGAGGTAGCAAACCGAATTGAAGCTTCAATTCATGTTTGGAGGCAGAAGGACCGCAAAAAATGTAAAAAGCACACAAAATCTGGGCGGTCATCATGGGGTGGTAAAGTCAAAGGGCTAGTTGGTGATGGAGAAAAGAGCCAACTTCTGGCAGAACGAGCAGAAACTCTCTTACAAAGCCTAAGGCTACGGTATCCTGGTCTCCCGCAGACTGTTCTGGACATGAACAAGATCCAATACAACAAGGTCTTTTTTTTTTCCTGCCCTAGTTTCTTTCGCCATGGAATAGTTTTATATCCAATGGATATGCGAAACATATATTTGATTTATGTTTGAACTTCTGTTTTGATAAAAAACCTGGTAAACTTCTATAGATGCATAAATCTACAAATTTAAATACAAAACAAGAAAACTATATATTGTAAATAGACAAAAATAGATTTATCTAAATCCCACTTAATCCTCAATAACTTTAAACTAAAAAAATCTAAAAAGGGTCTGAACAGTTAAATAAACATACTATTATATGTATTTGAATTGGATCTAAAGCAATATCTAAAATCAATCCAATTAATAAATGGATCAGGATAAAATTTGTTAATCTAATATGGTCATGGTCCAATAATAGTTAATCAGATATTTGAATCTGACTTAAATGAATGAAATTTTGAATTCAATTTGGGTTAAATCCGATCCATTTGCAGCCCTAATCTAATTGCTATAGCTCAAAGCAAATATCTTTTGATTCCAAAATATGGTCCAATTAGAGCATGGTTTTCGAACTGCCGTTGACCTGGACGGTTGGATCATTCGGCCCGGGAACCGTCCAGGCAAATGGTTCTGTTTTACCCCAAACCCGGTCCCTGGCCAAAATCCGTTGAATTGGTCAATGACCCATTGACCCGGGTGGTCGAACCGTCGACCCATTCAATGGTTTTTGGCTGTTTTTTATTTTTAATTATTTTTATTATTTTAAATTTTTGTTGTCAGAATGGGCCATCTGTTCAAATCGGACAATCAAACTGTCAACCCAGAAACCGGTGGCCAGAACGGTTCTGTTTCCGGGTCGTTTTTTAAAACCATGAATTAGAGCCTACTGTTTATATAAAAGCAAGTATCATTACTGAAGCAATTCTGTTAACCAAACACGTGCAGCCTTTTTTCCTTGAATTATAGTATTTCATAATACAGCATGTGGTTGATATTGTTTATCAGGTCTGCACTTGAATTATCACCAAATCTTATACAACAGGTGATTCTAGGGCGTTGGAATTGCCAAAGTCGTTCCTTAGAATAAAAGCACTAGGTTATCCCACCCACTAGTTGGCTGATCCAAGTTGATCAGTTGGTCCATCAACGGAGCAATTTATGAAGTAGGGAAACCTTTCATTGTTAGGATGATAGAATATGTGCTAACAGTCAACTGACTTTCCCTACTGGCACATAGCAGGTAGCCAGGTATATGAATGGGCTGTTGGTGCTTGTTAGTTGCAGTCTTGAGTTTGGAGGAGATTTTTCTATTCAGTGTTCAAACTCTCTGAATTGAAGTTGCTATAACATCCTCTTGTTCACTAAAAGAAAGATGAGTAATCTATTTCCTGTTGTAGGATGTGGGGCAGTCGATTCTTGAGAGCTACTCGAGGGTGATGGAGAGCTTAGCCTTCAACATAATGGCGAGGATTGATGATGTACTTTATGTAGATGATGCAACCAAGCAATGCGCTGCTGCAGATTCCCTGTCTTTACATGGCCGGGGTGGAAAAGGAGGTATTTCCATACAAAAGCGGATTTCACCTAGCCCTTTCTCAGTTCAGCTTCAGCAATCCCCTTATGCATCTCCATTCACAGCACCGACTTTCTGTGCTTCAACTTCTGTTGCCGGAAGCCCTGGAAGTATACATCCTTCTCTAAGCAAGAACAATCATGGGGACCACCTCCAGGATACAAAAGAGAAACTGAATACAGAAGACGTGGGGGGGATATGGTCATACGCTGGACATCTGAGTGCCAGAAAAGATTCTGGATATGCTCCAGAGAGGGATTGATTCATGGTGGAACCATTAAGGCCACCAAATTCGATCCTAAGAAAGGTCTTGTCTCTTGTAATTCTTTAAGCTTATGGAGGTAGTATCTAAGTATCTTGTATATTCTTTAGAAATAGAATAACATATTTCAAAATTTCCATATTCATAGCTCATGAGCAAATGAACATTTCTTGCTTGCCAAATGCCAATCCGTGTTACTATTACAGCTGGCTTCTCGCTTTTTTGACACAAGCATTTTCTTCCTCTAAATTAACTTGATTAGGAATTAGGGGAAAAAAGCTTAATAGGATTTTGTTTACTATATATGCGTATGCAGAGCTGTCATAGACTCAATTTTACTTCAGCCATCATGGGGCTTCAGAGTTTAAGACTTAAGAGGCACCAAACACCTCTTTAGCGCTGAAAGTGGTACTGATACAAAACCACTTCATAGAAGAAGAGTGAGTGCTTTGTCACAATTTGGTGGAGAAAACTTTGGCCGTTAGGAGCCACCATTTTTCAGCATGACAGATCAACCAATTCAGAGTCCCCTAGGTGAGTCCCGTAGGTAGGGGTGCTCACGCTTCGGTTAGGCCTTTCTTTTTAACCGAACCGGTACTATCGGTTTTTGGAAAACCGATAATTGAAATTGAACCGTAATTAACCGATTAATCGGTTGATCGGTTTGGTTAGTTGTTGGTTTGGTTTGTAGATTTTTTAGTTTTTTAATTTTTATAATATATATATATATATATAAAAATATATAATAAAAATTATATATATAGAATATTATATTTTAAATAATAAATAATATTTCATATATTATAAATATATATATATAATACATATTTATTAATTTATAATATAAAATATATAGAAATATATGTATATCGGTCGATTTTTTATATTAGTTAATTGAAATCGAACCAGTATCTTCAGTTTTTTAAAAACACCGAACCAACCGGTTTAGTAACCAATTTTTCGGTTTGGTTTCGATCAATTTTTTTGCTCACCCCTACTTTCTAGTCAATTACATTTGATTATAATTACTCTTTTACCCTATACTCATGGTACATAAGCTCTGATGCCAAATGCTCCTAGATCAGTTATAGAACCCTTCTTATGAAATCGACCAAAGCTCTTGGCTAAGTTGCACGACATTCTAGTCCTATTCATGTCGAGCGGCAAAGGGCACATTTGTGTACACTAGTGCACACTTGCCAAACACACAAGAGCACGTTTCTCTACTCACTAAGTATGTATTTGGTATAGTTTTTGTTTATTAAATAAATGTTTATACTTAATTTATTTTTAAAATTGAGAAAAGTACTTGATAAATCGTTTATAAATAATTAGGTGCCACTAGGCACCATTAGACACCATATCAGCAAAAGTGCTGAACAGTGAATAAATGCTCAACCATTAGTGTTAAAATAAAACTTTCCCTAATAGTTGGTGCGCATATAAATCAAAACCCACTTTTGTAAATATCAAAACGTACGGATGAATATGATAGAAAAAAATGCTGATTTGGCAATAAATAACAACATTTTGATAAACACCTATGGAACAAAACACATGCTAAGGCATAACACAATTACACTAATGCTTGGGGAATGAACATTTATAATTACACTAATGCAATGTATGCAATAGAGAACTTAGGTTGGATGGTTTAAAGGTTTAAAATATCGATACGACTGACTAGGCGTATCAGGCGAATCGATACAGCTTTTGGTACTTTTTTTTTTCACAACTGGTTCAGGGGAGCCGGTTTAGGCCTCCTCCACACCCTGAACCGGTCAGACCCCCGATACACCCACTGTAGGGATGTATCGCAAGGGTTCCCAGAACGATACTATCGGCGGCCGATACATGTCGATACTTTGAACCGTGGATGGTTTTGCTACAAACCAAAGAGGTTACCCAATTTATGGGCACTTCGCCTCCTTGCAAAGAATACTCTAGACCCTTACTAGGGGTGCTAAGTGCTAACTTGTGTGGGTCCAGTCTGTCCAGTGTAGGCTCAGACCGATCTAGGCTTAGATTTTTTCTCGGGTTGGGCTTAGGCCCAAATCCTGGGTATTTCTTTTTATTTTATGAGTTGGGCCCGAACGTAATAGCCTTAATTTGGTCCGATCTTAGCCCAGCTCGAGTCTAGCTCGGCTATTCATACAAAGATACATACATTCAGCCAAAATAATAATACATGTTATATTTAATATTTTATATAATCTAAAGCATAACATAAATAATTTTATATAATATTATATGTAATATGAAATAAAATATTCTATATCAAAAGTCATTCTAACTTTATACACGTGCCCGCCTATAAAATAATATACTCACTTCAAAAGATTTTAGACTCATATTAATTTTCTTTTAATTCAAATAAATGATTTTTAATGGTTTTAGTTTTATTATTTTTTAAATAGAATAGGTCGTCAATTATAAATTAAATCTGATTTAATTTTTTTTTTCAATTAAATAAGGAATTCAAATTAAATTTACCAAACAAAATGATTAGTGGTTTCGTACTTGATACTTAGTATGAGATGATCATTAACTGGTACATAATTAAAAGAAGGAAAAGAAAAAAAAAAGATGCATGACCACCAAGGCTCCGACTTGATAGACACCATTCTATTGTGCAGGGATGTGCTAGTAATTTATTAATTTACTTTTTTATTTTAAATAAAAGGAAAAATTCTCAAATCCTCTAGTGCCACTTAATTTTTTGAATTTTAAAATGTAACAATTCAGTAGCTGAACTTTCAAAATGTGCCAATCCAATACGTGTCCTGGTTAACCAACTATTGAGTGGTATTTGAAAAGACACAGATGCCCTTCGAGTGCTGATGATGCACAATCTGGCCGGTCTTAGCTGTCGATGATCTTGCCTCTGAACTGAGTAACAGGGACCTGAAACGGGAGGAGAAGAGAAGCT